ATGTATATGATATATCGTCTTAATTTATATATTGAGGCAGCCCTCCAAAATTGGAAAAACCACTGCCAGGGAATGGGAATCCCCATAGGAAATGACTTCCTGAACTTTACGGATGCCCAAATCGTCCTAGCTCAAGATTCTTATAATCTAGAATTTATTATAAACCGTCTCTACAGAGAATATGTAAAATGGGGTTACAAGTCAGCAAGAAGAAAACAGAATATTTAGTTATCAATTCAGATGCAATGTTTGAAGTGTTAATAGACGAGGCCGTGGAAATCAAACAAGTGGAAAAATTTAAATATTTAGGTGCACTCATTGATAAAAACGGCTTGGGAGAAACTGAAATTAAACACCGAATTAATCAAAGACGTAAAATTGTAGGATGTCTGAACTCCTTATGATGGGATCGCAACATTTCCAAAAGTAACAAAAAAAGAGTAAGACCAAAGTAGATTTGTTATGGCTCTGAAGTAGGGACAATTAATGCAGACCTGACGAGAAGATTGTTGACAGTTGAAATGGATTATTTGAGAAGAATTGCTAGAACATCAAGGCAGTAAAGAAAGACCAACAAATCTATAAGAAATAACATGAATGCTACAGAAACGGTCATTGACATATAGAAAGAAGAGGTTCAAAATAGTTTGGACATCTATTGATAATGCCTGACGAACGTTGACCTCAAAAACTTCACAAATGAAAGGAATTTAGTAAGTATTTGTGTACTCTTAAACCATCAAGAAAAGGAAAACGGCGTATCTAGGTCACATCATGCGAAATGAAAAATACCAGTTCCTCCAACTTATAATCGAGGGTAAAATTGAAGGCAAGAGAGGAATGGGACGCAAGAAAATGTCCTGGCTCCGAAACATAAGGCAATGGACAGGGATTAACGACATACAATCTCTGATACATATTGCAAGAAATAGAGAATTAATGGAAAATGTGATCGCTAACATCCATTAGTGGATTTGCATCTGAAGAAGAAGAAGAAGTACTCTTAAAAGCCCCAAGATATTTAGTGTGGAAGTATCAAGAAGAGACTGGTAAAGCTGTGTAGTAAACAGTGCCATATTGGAATGGGTTAAAGGTCATCGGGAATACACGGCAACTAAATAATTGATAAATGATATTGATAATTGATAATTGCTAAACGAGGTTCATTTTCAAAATACTTCGGTCCAGAGCTAAAGGTTGTTTTAGTAGTTCTAAAAAGCACTGTTCGCGATCAAATATGGATCTGGATCAACTCAGAATCAGAAAAGACAGGACTCCGCCCAGAATCCTTAAAATCAGAAAAGTTTACATAGTCAACGAATACCAGCATACAGTGAGGCTCTTTTATGACGACATAAGCTACTGACTATGTGGCATAGAGTCTGAATGGTAACGGTTTTGCACAACTGTAATGCATTATAACATAACATACACAATAACGGATCACAAGAAATAAACAACAGGATTCAGGCCGGCAACAGATGTCTTTTTGCCCTCCAAAACCTTATAAAATCGAAACAACTAACAAGACGTACGAAGATACAGGTCTATAAAATAATCATACGACCCGTTGTGATGTATGGAAGCAAAACTTGGACAATAACAAAGGCAAACGAAGAGAGACTATGTGTTTGGGAAAGAAAAATCCTAAGGAAGATCTTTGGCCCTGTGCTGGACGAAGCATCAGGACAATGTAGGATAAGAACTAACAAAGAGCTCGAAGAACTTTACAGAGAGGCCAACATCATTGTTCAATTACAAATTAACCCCTTAATTTGTAATCTCACATTATTTTTAACTTCTTAATCTTTGATAGTTTCACCGAGTATAAGTGAGGCATTGTAAAACCATATCGTATAATATTTTATCGAAGATCATGACAAATAGACTAACAACTAAGCTTGACGAATACCAAGCAAGAGAACAAGCGGGATTCAGAAAGGGTTTAGTACTAGCGACCATCTGCTAACAGTAAAAATACTGATTGAAAAGTCGAACGAGTATCAAATCCCATTATACATTTCATTCATAGACTTCCGAAAGGCGTTTGTCAGCATAGAACATTGGGCCATCAAAAACTCACTACAGAACGGCAGAATTGATTACAGGTACACGGACCTAATAACAAACATATACAAAAATGCGAGTACCACAATAAAATTGACGAACGAACACGTTACAGAACCAATAAAATTCGAAAGAGGAATCAGGCAGGGAGACACAATATCGCCAAAATTGTTCAATCAGGCTATGGAAGACATATTTAAAAAATTAGAATGGGATACATACGGAATAAGAATAAATGGAGAGCTCTTGAACCACTTGAGATATGCACACGATATAGTCCTGATAACAGATAAGAAGGAAGAGTTACAGAAGATGGTTGAGGAACTAGATAGAAAAGCGACAGAGGTAGGTCTAGAGATGAACTATAGTAAAACCAAGACTATGACAAACCAAGAAGACGAATTAGAAATAGTAGTCAAACAGAATAAATTAGAGCAGGTGGCAGAATACATATACCTAGGACAGATAATAAAGCTGAACAGGGACAATCAAACAGAAGAAATAAAAAGAAGACTAGACTAGCATGGGCCTCATTTGGTAAACTATCATATATTCTAAAAAATAAAAAGTTCCCTATATATGCGAACAAAAGTATTCAACCAGTGCATTTTACCAGTTATCACATATGGCTCACAAACATGGACAAAGGAGAACATCGACAGGATATCCAAAACACAAAGAGCAATGGAAAGACAGATGCTGGGTATCGGTCTTAAAGACAGGAAAAGAAACTTATGGATCAGAGAAAAACACTCTCCGGCAAAAAGATGAAAGATGGAATAAGCGAATTCTACGCTGGAGACCATGGGAAAAGAAAAGAAAAAGAGGAAGACCACAGATGAGATGGACTGACGATCTTAAGAGAACGGCAGGAAAGGACTGGATGCAGATCGCCCAAAATAGAGACCAATGGAGATTAACAGGGAGGCCTATGCCCAAGAGTGGGCGTTTAAGGCTGATTAAATAGATAGATAGATAATATTTTAATAATTAGTTCATTTACCTACAACTAAATAAATTGCCGAATAATATAGTTTCTAATTGAACTTCCTAAGTGACGGAATTACGGCCTAGATTAAGTTGTATTGTAAGCAGTTTGTTGGTATGGTATGATAGAAAGCAATAACCTCTCTGATGAGGTATGAATTATTTGTGAGATTATAAATTGGGGATTTGAGCTCATTTGAGCACAGTTTATTACCAGTAGTTACCTAAAGAACATCATATTGTGTAATTACCAGTAACTGTCAATAAACTCAACATTTTTCTGCATAACTTCAACTTTTATTATATTTATCATCGTTGATCGACAAGAAGCGGACAAAGGGGCTTTATAAAACGATTCGATCCTCAAAACGACGTTCGAAACTTTCCAATCATAAAAGAAATTAAGTCCAGAAGATTCAAATGGGCTGCACACCTCCGAAGACATTCTGACGAACGAACAGTAAGACTGGTGTGGGAGGAAGTCCCAACTGGAAGAGAACACGCGGACGCCCTCGTCTCCGGTGGTGATATAATATAGCAGGAGACCTAAGCACTATGGGCGTGGAGAATTGGATGGAGGTTGCTCAAGACAGAAAACAGTGAAGGCATGTTGTCGAGTCGGCTAAAACTCACGAAGGGGTAACGCCACGGAGTAAGTAAGTAATTAGTAATGCATTATCTCATAGATGAGAGGCACTTTTTGGAGACTTTCAAGTGACTCCACTAACTTATGGTACCCATACACTACACCTGTACATGCTGAGACCGGGTTAAAGAATTCTAGAATGTGTATTATAAATAAAGTATAATGGTAAAATGTACAGTGGGCCAACCAAGTACAGGTGAGGAACAGGTGTATAATAGACAGCTTCTGTACTGTACTGTTCGGTAGGACATAGCTAATTCATGTAATCTTCGTGCCTGGCACATTAGGTCATATTTTCAATAAATTAGATGAGTTCTTGGATAAATAGAACTTTTCAAACTATAAAAGTAGTAAACTGCAATACATTGAATTGGGAGGCTTGTCTATGGGCAACACAAGTACTAAACCTCCTCCCAATAAATAATTTTTGAATGTTCTTTACGAATATGCGTACCTGTCGAGGCGTTGTTTAGTGAGGTAACGTGTAAGTGATTTACATAAACTTTTCCTGTTTTGTTATTCATAATATAATATTATGAACATAATATTATATTACATTATATAATTTATGTTATTTACGAAGAACATAGATTATATAAATTAATTACAAAACATCCTACACCTTAAAAGGTAATTGGTAGTTTTAGACCGTGAAAATGACTAAAAGGCAAATACAAAATAATGAGTTTAACTTAAATTGACAGATCAATACCCAAAAACTGAAAATGTATCATAGAAGTAAGAGAAAAGAAAAATATATAAGATACCTCAAGGTACCCAACACTCATATCGAGGGAGCCGATGGAGCAGATCACATAGCTAACAAAGCAAAAATGATCGATAAATTTATAGGGTCTCTATTTTTACACAACGTTCAAACTATCTATTAAAATAATAAAGAAATAATTTAAAGAATAATTAAGAAAATAAAGAATGTACAATGGGATAGCGAATGAAGAAAAAGAACAGAAATCTATAAGAAAAGTTCTTTATTGCGTTCGTAGTTCTCTGTTATAGGCAAGCCTAGTTTCACATACATATATTATTGGTTGCCTGTATTTAGTGTTTGTTAATTCAAGGTTTTATATTAACTAAAACTTATAAAAAAAATTGTTAATTTTAATTATATAATTTAAAAATGACGAATTTTTAAAATTTATGTACATGTTATAGACAAAAAATTTTATTAAAAAATTATAAATCAAAAAGGTAGTGTAGTGTCTTGTGCTGGCTGAATATCAGATCAGACCAAGACCAGAGTAAGCAGCAGTAAGACAGTGTCAGTGTCAGTATCAGTGTCAGTAAGTAAGCAGCAGCAATTCGTAGTAAACAAGAAGCAAGTAGTAAAATTTGAAATTAGAAATTCCATAAAAAAACATGGACAAGGAAGACAAAAAATACCAACTATTAGATAATAGAATTGTTTGCAAATACGGCGACAAATGTTATCAAAAAAATCCAACGCATCATGAGAAATATAAACACCCACAAAAAAGAAAGGTAACCTCTTTTACTAAAATTACTACCAAAGTAACAAATTGTACAAAAATACGTTTAAAATTTACTATGTCTCGTATATACACCTCTTACTTTCTCTAGATAATTGTGATAATTGATAAATGTCCAAAAATTCTTTTGTTTTAGACTCCGCGATCTCCACAACAGACACCTAAAAAATTAAAAACCGATAAAGTAGAGCCATCAAAAGTAGACTCTGATGCTGAAGACTATTCTATCGATGATGATTCAAATACGAGTTCAGAGAGTATTCCAAAAGAAACTAATGCGAAGGTAAATCACGATGTTTCAGATTCTGACCCTGATGATGATTCTGAAAGTAATCATAGTGAAACTGAAGACAATAGTAACAAAATGGAAGAAACCTCTAATATCCAGGAGGAAAACACTGTAGATAGTGACAAACAAGAAAATTTAGAAGATATTAAGACTAAAAATGGTACAAAGTCAATATTTTTTTGAAAAATTTAATTTTCTAATACTGATGTACAGATAAACATATTGTATTTTTATTTTATATGTAATTGCAGGCACAGACAGTGATGATAGTAAAGACACCAAGGACAAAACATATTCAAATAAAGAAAAAGAATGGAACAGTGTAATAAAAGACAAATTTCTGGTGGACATGCCTCCAGATTTCTTTCAATTCTGGGATTTTTGTGAGAAACAAGCCCCCAAATGTCCCTCGGAAGCTTTAAGCAAAGTTGGTATCTTTTTAGTTGGACCATATGATGTACTAGCAGGTAGATAAACAAGAATCAATTATATAGTTTATGTTTGTTCAACTTTAGTCTGGCAAATTCTTTTCAGGGTCATATATTTGAGCATCTTGACTCAACAATTTTTTACTAAATTTTATTTTCATATCTTTTGTAAACAAAAATTTCTACTATGAATAAAATATCTACAATAACTAATGTATTTTATATTATTTAAGGCAAATTTTCAAAAGTTGACAAACCACCAGAAGATTATTTAATCCACTGGAGATATTACAGAGATCCACCAGAACTACAAACAGTATTAAGGAGTGATGATGCCAATGGATATCATATAGGATATTTTAGAGATGCTCCAGACAAAACTCCAGTCCTCTTAGTCTCAAACGCTCCACAAAAGAATGGAATATTAACTCCTATGGGTGGAAATATCTTCGCAGCTGTTAAGTAAGTGAGAACATGTGAGATGTATTTTTTGTGGTTCTGTACTGTTTTAGTTCTTTTTAAGAATACCATATGTGATGCATTACTTTCTTTTTACTTCCTGTTTTTTCACAAATTAGAAATATATAGAAAGAAAAGCATATGGGAAAGTTTTTTAGAAAGAATGAACAGAAAATATTTTTTCTTAAATATTCATAACTATATGTCATAATTAATCAAAAAGATATAACCTTTTTAAATACTTTTCAGTTTATACTTGGAAGATCTGAAGAAAAGCGGGAATCCATTCAGGAAAATGGCAGTTGGTGGAATACAAGCAGCTCTAACAAAAGAAGCTCAAAGGCTGGGTATTGATTTGTCAAGAAAAACTAAGGCCATTGTTGCAAGAGAGAAGAAAATAGTTACTAGAAGCTTCAATAAAATTGGTCTTTGTGTTCCTTACAATAAAAAGTGAGTTTTCTTTGTTTTAGAGATTTGTAGTACATGTAATAACACAGAAAATGTTTAATTTTAATTTTCTTTAAAATGCCTTTCCCTCCTTAATGTTGTTTATAAAAGCTTTTACCTCCGCTTTGGGAATAGGTGGTTTGATATCGTCATTTTTATTTTGTGTGATGATGACATTCCTATCGTCTTCAAATGTTGTCACATAGTTTATCCATTTTGTTTTTGTTTCTTCAATATCAACTATTGGATTTCCTTGAGTGTCTGTTAAGTGTCCCGGCCTTTTTGATTTATAGATGCCTGCGGCTTCTTTGATCTTTTTGTGGAGGTTGAAGGAATAGTGTTTATGTTCCAATATCTTGATTTCTTCACACTGTTCTTCCAGATTTCTATTTTTAGCTTCTCTGACAGCTTTTTTTATCGCTTTGTCTAGAAATTAATATGCAACATAGTCTTTCCACTTGGATTCTCTTCTTCTGTCCATCATCTCTAATATACTGTTGGTCATCCATGGTTTTTTCTTTTCAGTTGCAGGTATTGGTCTAATATTTCCTTTCCAATGTTTTCTAAGTGGTTTATTTCTGTGTCAACATCATTAACTACTTCTTACTTAGATATGTTGTTCTTCAGATATTCCCGTACTTCTTGCTTTATGTATATATGAAACTTTGCGACAAGTGGGTTATGGTCTAACTTAATATCTGAACCAGGGTAGGTTTTCACTAATGTTATTGAGTTTTTGAATCTTATTTATTAAAATATAGTCAATCTGGTTTCTTATGAGATTTTCTGTCATTTCACCTGGTGAGTGTGATGCGTACAACCTTCTGTATGTTAATTTGAAGACTGTATTAGTGATTACCAACTCTTCTTCCATAGCAAATGTGAGTATGTATTCTCCTCTCTCATTTAGCTCACCCAGACCCTATGAACCTACTACTTCACCATAACTACCCTTATTGATTTTGGGATTAAAGTCTCCTATAACTAGCGTTACTTCATTGGTTTTTAACTTACTTAGGACTTTCCTTAAATCATAATAAAAAGCCTCTTACTTCGTCTGATTTGTCTGCTGTGGGTGACATTATTTTAAGATACATTATTTTATGATAATTACTTTCAGAACAAAATAAATTTTATAGAGATTTTGAAAAGTTATTAACTTCTAGGTCACAGGTAGGGTATAGAGAACTGGCCCAAACGAACAAAGAACTAGAAGCAAACTTAAATAAACTAGACCAGGCTAAGACCAAAGCTGAACAAGACAAATGTTTCTCTGACTTACAGCCAGTATTCACCTACACAAGCATTGCCTCTGATGAATGTGACTTTGGTACTGGTATTGAGCTAGGCTGGAATATTATAAGTCATGGCACAGACCGTTTGAATGCAACTGCTGGCCGGTTCTTGGCTTCCAATTACAGGTTGTTCAACATGGAAGCTTTTGCTAAGATAGCAGAGGCGCACATGAAAAATAGGCGAAAGGGAAATAAATTGAGTATTATATGATTTTATAAAATAAAAATTTACATGCAAATTGTGTGTTTTTATTTAAAATGATTTTATTTGGAAAGCTCTGTATTCATATTGTAATTTTAGATGTAAAAAATATTACATTTACAAATATTATGCTTACAGTTTTCCGATTGCTTTTTTTACTATTTTTTCGGGGTTTGTTATTTTCAAAGTTCATTGCCACTGCTATTTGGTTTATTATTATTGTCAAATAACTTTACGGAGAAATAAAAACTTAATGGAAATAAATGGAATTGGTATAATTTGTTTGATAAAAAATAAATTTAAACAGATTACAATTGTTCAAAACGTTTTCAGTCCTATTAAACTATTATCAGTGAACTTAATAACCCCATCACAAAACAGCGAATATGTTTAAATTACATTTTAAATGCTTTAAATTATAAAGTGAAATGACACACGGTCGATGATGAAAAATTTACTTGGCCCACACAATGGCCCCTACTTGAAACTTAACCCATATCTGGGTTGTGTAGAAGACACCAGCCAACTAACTGCTGTTCAGTATGAATGAATTCGTTCAGTATTATACAACTACAATTTGTTCATCATGAAACCTGCAAACAAGTGGAAAGCCTTCTCCAAGCCTGTTAGACAAGTGAAATATAAACATTACATTACATTTTATATTAAAATATTTAAAAAACTTTCAATATGTCACTGATCTTGGTAAAATATTTCACTCCAATATAGCCAGGAGCCACTGGGTATGTGCCTTTGTTTTTATTTAGTGTATGTTTGCCTTTATAAAAATTGGTTTGCAAGATTATGGCGGGGGCACATTAAACATGGCTCATATTACTTATTTTGAGCTTCTTAGGAATACTCCCAGTGTAGACGTGTTGAACCATTTTTTTTTCAGTTTTTGAAGCCAACCAATTCATCTCCTCGCTAGTTCCCTTTTTGAGTTGCAAAATGCCATATCTTTGATTATTTCTTATAATATTGTTCAGCTATTCTAATTTGTGCTCTTTTATTATATGAATGATGTCCAATTCTTTCCACATTATGTGCAAACCCCAAAATTAGTCACTTTGGATTGATTCAATCCCAATCCAAAGAAATCCTCATGCTACGAAAGCTTTCCTTTCTCGTATCAAAAGTCTATCTCATAAAATCGACACAATTCTCAAATTTAAAGGGAATAAAGGCAATATGTATTCATCACCAAAAATTTTCATCTCTCCGATTCCTCAAACGCAACATTCAAAGCACAAGGTAACAAAATTGATTCTGAATTCCAGAACGATAGCATCCATCCATTTTTATAAACAAAAGTGGTGAAGTGTTTTTATAAATAAAAAAGTGGAACCAAACCGGAAGAACAAGAAGACCACGAAAGTGCTGGATAAAACAGACCACTTTAATTGCTCATTCTTGAAAAGACACAATAAAAATATAGCATCTACGTCCAGTGAATTATTAAAAACAGCTGTGGATAGAGCCAAAACTATTAACATTGTGGCAGTATCAAATTTTAAAAACAAGGCAAAATATCTATTACTACGATTCACCATGTACGTTATCACGTGTCTTTACGAATGAGGAAAAATGTGAATATAACAAATTTACTATTATTTATCGAGGAAATTTATTTATAGAAAATTTCTAATTTTAGCCGGATGACGGGTGTCTGTAGCTTAAAATAACCATTATTTGAGTGCCAGAAATGCAATTTTTTGTTCCTCTTTTACTTATAAAATAAACTTTATCGATATATAAATTTTCATAAATGAGGTTAAGATTGAAATATGATAAAAATAATTATTACGCTGTTTATTCAATAGATAACATGCGAGGGTTAAAAACAATGGGGTAAATATAAAATGACATTGATACATGAAAATCAGTAAAAACATTTCTTCTTTTATTAAAATTAGCCGAAATATTAGCCGCTGGCTGAACACGTTACGAATTCGTTTAACAGACATATTCAGAAGTGCTCACATGTATCATCCATCACAAACTATTGTGGGATATCAAATCTCTTTTGTCGTTTCCCCATTACTGATCGTGATTTCTTCCAATATTCCTAACAATTTTTCTCCATTGATCCCTACCTTCAGCTGCTCTGAGAGCTTCGCGGAATGAGTTTCCAGCTGAATTCTTAATTTGGTCGGACCATGTAGTTGGTGATTGTCCTCTTGATCTTTTCCTCGGAAAGTTTTCAGAAACAATTAATCTCTCCAAATTACGTCACCTCTGCGAATCGCTTAACTGAAAAATTGCAGTGCAGACATATTGTGGACAGCCTTTTTTAAAATCTCGAATTGGTTTAGAATGGAAAAGTTTGTCCTATGAGCTGTCCAAGGTATGCGCAGCATTCTTGTCCAGCACTACATCTCAAAGGCATCAATTTTTTGGTACTTGTGTCCGCGAAGAGCCCCAGTCTCTGGGACTCCGTATAGAAATATTGAGAATACAAGGGCATTCACCAGTCTCATCTTAATATTTTGAGAGATAGATCTGCCTTTCCAAACTTTAGTTAGGCAACTCATCGCATTTTTTACCATACCAATACGTCTCCGAACTTCTGCTTCAAAAATACCATCGTTAGTTATACTAGAGGTAGAGAGATAGACAAAACTATTCACTATCTAGGATTCCTGTAGTTACTGTTACCCAGTTAAATAGTGTGGAATCTGTCGACCACCATTAGTTTTGCCTTAGCTTTATTGATTTTCAGACCAACTTTTATTGTTTCGTACCCAACTCTTCGCAGGAGATAAAACATTTCTTGCTCATTTACTGCTATAAGTGTAGTGTTATCAGCAAATCTTTTGGAGATTTTCCTACCAGCCAGTTACTCCAAAAGGCCCATCCATCTAAAGCCATCCTAATGACATGTTCACCATAAATGTTGAATAAGTCAGGTGACAACACGCATCCTTGTCTAACACCTCTCTCGGTCTTGAATTCGTTAGAAAACTTCTGATCTAGTCGTACTGTTGCTATATTGTACTGGTACAGTTTTTTAAGTGTCACTAGGTGCATTGGTGTGTCCATTTCTATTAAAATGGACCATAGATTTATCTAGCTTACACAATCCAATGCCTTTTGGTAGTAAATGAAGCATATAACTATTTTAAATTCTCTAGACTTTTCAATAAGTTCTCTCAGGTTCAGGATTTGTTCCCGTGTACTTATACCCTTTACAAATCTCGCTTATTCCTTAGGTATTTGGTAATGTAGATAGGTTTTTAATCTGTTTTTAATGATACGGAAAAATATTTTATTAAAATCCGACAATTTTTAACTAAAGGTGACTAATCTACAAATTGAACGAAGTGCTAACGGCAACCATGTAAAATCTCAGAAGTAAATTCTTACCGGGATCATTTTTATTGTGTATGCTTCGCCCATTGAAATAAGTAAAAATTAAGATAGTCCCATAAAATTTGCCGCCGTAACAATACAAATTGCTGCGATTCACGAGCGTATGGTTCGACAAATTCATTGAATAGTTTGAAGCATCGTGAAGTTTCGTTCCACGTTTTATATGTGCATAGGTGTGTGTTCTATTTCTTGGGAATATATTTATTAAATATACTTTTATTATTAACTTTAAAATAGTTTTAAGGTAAGTAAAGAAAATTTGTTCTTCTTCTACATTGTATATTATTTAGTTCTTCTAAGAAGAACTAAATAATATACAATGAGATATCATTGGTCTGTCAGAGATAAGAAGAAAAGGTGAACAAAAAATACTATTAAACTCAAGAAACATGCTGTACTACAAAGGCAATGAAGATAACTCTAACAACGGAGTTGGTTTTATAATAAACAAGAAAGTCGTCAGATACATACAATCCACCAAGGGTATATCAGACAGAGTAGCCTACATTATGCTTAAATTATAAAGAACGTCTTTGAAAATTATACAGGTATACGCGCCAACAAGTTCAATTACAGATGAAGATATTGAAAACTTCTACGAAGAACTAACACTCGCTATGGAAGAAAAGAAAACTAAATTGACGCTAATAATTGGAGACTTCAATGCCAAATTAGGGGGAAGAATAGATGGAGAAGAACACAGAATTGGAAAGTATGGATATGGCGAAAGAAATAATAGAGGACACACATTAATGAACTACTTGGAGGAGAGACAACTTTTTGCTATGAACTCGTTTTTTAACAAAAAACCACAAAGAAAATGGACATGGATAAGTCCCAACAGTAATACAAAAAACGAAATAGATTACATCCTTACAACAGAAAAAACCATCATCAAAGATGTTACAGTACTGAACCGCTTCTCAACCGGTAGCGATCATAGACTTGTCAGAGCCAAACTCAGGATTAATAGCCAATTCGAAACAAAAAAGAAAATAGAAAATGTATCGAAACTAGATATGGAAAAACTTAAGCAATCAAAAGACGAATATAAACAAAAAATAAAGGAAAGTATACCGGTCACTAGAGATTTGGAAACAAAAATATCGATGAAATAAATCAGCTATTAACCGATACATTAGCAAAGGCGGGAAAAGAGGTAGCACAAACAAGAATAAAAAAGGAAAACTACGTATCCCAGGAAACAAAAAATCTCATGAGTAAAAGAAAAACATTACTGGAACAAGATAAGAGAAACACAGTAGATTACAAAGAGGTAAACAAAGCTATCAGAAGGAATATCAAGGATTATAAAAGGAGAGTACAGGAAGAAAAAATAGAAAAAGCAATTGAACAAAATAAAAACATGAAGTGCTTAAAACTACAGCTTGGAACCATACAAATTAATAGTATAAAGAAAAAAGAAGGTACAGAGACCAATAATGTAGAAGAAATTATACAGATAACACAAGAATATTATAAAAACCTCTACTAAAAAAAACCTCTCTAAAACAGAAACCAACCCAAGAAATCCTTAAGCAACTACAAATAAAAAATGTTAATTCCGACTTACAACCAGAGATCAGTAAGAACGAGATAAGAAGAGCACTCACAGAGATGAAGAACAATACATCGCCAGGAAAAGACGAGGTGACTGTAGAAATGCTAAAACATGGTGGGAAAACAACTAGAGAAGTTTTGTACATACTTATGAATACAATTTTAATGACAAAACAAATACCCAACAGTTGGAACGAAGCAATAACACTGTTACTATTTAAGAAAGGAGATAAAAAGGATCTAAAGAATTACAGACCCATAACTTTATTAAATGTGATGTACAAACTAGATTTAGAAAGAGCTTCAGTACAAGTGACCACCTTTTAACGATGAAGATTTTAATCGAAAAAACTAACGAATATCATATCCCGCTATACATGGCATTTATTGACTTTGAGAAGGCATTTGATAGTGTCGAACACTGGGTAGTACAGAATTCCCTACAAAACAGCAGAATAGACTACCGATATACCGACTTAATTATAAATATATACAACAAGGCAACAACAACTATTAAGCTAATGAAACAAACGGAGCCTATTAAAATAAACCGAGGAGTAAGACAGGGAGATACCATCTCGCCCAAGTTATTTAACCAAGCGCTAGAAGATGTTTTTAAACGACTACACTGGGATGACTTGGGAATTAATACAAACGGGCAAAATCTGAATCATTTACGATATGCTGATGATATTGTATTAATAACAGAAAAAAGTGAAGAATTACAAAGAATGATGGAAGAACTAGATAGAGAATCGACAAAAATTGGACTCAAGATGAATTATAGTAAAACAAAAACCATGACTAATCAACCAGAAGAACTTATAATTACAGTGGCACAAACAAAAATAGAACAGGTAAAAGAGTATATATATCTAGGCCAAATCACTAAATTAAATAAAGAAAATCAGACCGAAGAAATAAAGAGAAGAATAAGATTGGCCTGGGCATCATTCGGAAAACTGTCTTATATTCTAAAGAATTCAAAATACCCCTAATACTTAAAAACGAGAGTCTTCAATCAATGTATACTCCCTGTCCTCACATATGGCTCTCAGACATGGACGTTTACAAAGGAAAATATGGAAAAAATAGCAAAGACAGAAAGATCCATGGAAAGACAAATGCTGAACATTAAACTATCAGACAAAAAAAGAAACGAATGGATCCGTAATAAAACAAAAGTAAAAGATGTCTCAACCCAAGTAGCAAAGCTTAAATGGAAGTTCGCCGGACACACTCTAAGGCAGAAAGATGAAAGATGGACTAAAACAATTATACATTGGAGACCATGGAATCACAAACGTAAAAGGGGAAGGCCACAAATGCGATGGTCAGATGACCTGAAGAAACACGCCGGGTCAAAATGGATGCAAATTTCCCAAGATAGAGAGGCATGGAAGAAGGAGGAGGAGGCCTATATCCAAGGATGGATGTTAAGAGCTGTATAGATAGAAAGAAAATTTTAGATGTTTATTCTTTTTATGGTATTAACCTATTAACGACCGATACAATAAACAAAGAAGAATTTGACAATTAATTTATTAGATTGGATTAAAAACATATAAATTAAGGCTAATTTACAACCAAAAAGATTTTTTTTTCTCATTTTCAAGGGAAATTTTTTCAATTTTTAATAAAGGAACATATCGTATCTTAAATGTAATTTTTTTTACATAAATAAATAATATTACTTTTACACATCAGACTATCGTCTACTTTTGTAATGTGGCCAATATGGTCGAATCTGGTTTCATCTGGCAAAGCAAATTTAGATTGACGTCCATGTACTAAGTTTGACACTGATGTAGCGGTTTCTTCACTATTCTCTTCATGTTTGATTAAACGAAATCTTGTTTGCTCATACTTTCTCTTATAATGTGCACTTCTTTATCCTCATCCCTTCGATCAATACATATCAACTTGAAGCAGTGTGAACCAGATAATATACATATGCCAATAATTTTTGTAAATCTGTCATTCATTTCAAAATCTTGGCGGATATTCTGCGATGCATAAATATTTGTAAAATATAGAATGCTCTCAATTACTTGTTTATCAAAAAATAGTGAAAAAACTTTAATATAAACTTGCCTCCATGGTTGGCTTTTAAATTGTCTAAATATCAATCTGGCTGATGTTGAATTACTACTGAGTACGAAGGAGTATCTGTTGTTACCCAACTTGAGACAAATTTGGATTTACTATTTTTGCCCGGTTTTTTCTTTGGGCGTTTTATCTGCGGTTCAGAAGAATATCCGAGTCAAAATCAGACAGCACACAAAATAGAGGATTATGAAGAAGTTGAGGCTGTGAAGTGGAGGAAGAAGGACGTACATTTTCAAGTGGTTCAGAAAGTGGTAGTGAAAATAATGGTAAGAGATGTCATAAAATTAAGTAGCTTACAGATCAACTGGTCCTGAAGCTCCAACTATCAGTTTGATAAAGTGAACAACTCAAATTTTTAAAAATCTTGGGCCATTTAGCTTGTCACCAAAGTGTGAACACTAGCATTCTGATATAATTAAATAGATTGGCTGTACATGTTTCCAGATGTTTCTATGTCATGAAGATATTGTTGAGGTAGCTTCAATAAAACAACATTGCTAAATTCGTTTATAAATATTTATCTAATTAAAAACAAAATGCATATAGACAAAAATCAGGATTAACAGTTACTTCTATATTGGAAGATATTGTTAAGTATATACAATATTTTATTAAACGTTTCCTTTAGCAGTTAAAAGCCTTCCAGAAAGTAACATCAACATCGACAGAGCAGATAAAAGACGGTGACTCGTAGAAAAATATATATATTTATATATATTTCAGATTGCTGATGGCACTTTCTCATCAAAGCAAGGCAATAAGTTAATAAAAGCTTCAATCATCATATTCGACAAACAGATGTTCAATTTTGGGCTCAAGCCAGTCCTGGCAGACTGCTTGGTGGGCTTGGAATGGGTACTACCACACTAAATTTCGATGAGAATGGATTAATGTTTAAAAAGTTACATTTGTTTACTTTATTAGATATACCTGTTACTATTACTTACTATTTATCTTAAAAAATTGGTATAGATAGAAATTGTGCTACCATTTTCTTTGCAGTTATCATTAATAAAACTACAACGTCATAGATCTATAATTCGTAATAATTTCTACTCAAAAAACCTTAATTTGTCATAAATATTTGATCTTACATATAATGTTGCCAATCGTTATTTATAAATTTAGCTAGATTCTCCACTATTAGCAATAGGTATTCGAATTTGCACTCGCTATATATAATAAAAGATTAGATCTGATTAATGGCGTACAATGAAAATGGCAGTACTTAAAAATCACAAAAATCTCTTGTTCATATCACACATGATAATGATTTTATATAACGATACATATATATCAAATGAATTATTTCAAACAAAAACCAATATTCCGTGTTTATAGATTGTACAGTTTCTCTATTTTCGATGTAATTTATGGGAACTTTAAATACTCCGGTAAATTATCTATTAAAAAAATAATTAAAATAGGACTCTCATGTTGATTGTGATTAGCATTTTATCAGATTGATTCTGTTCAGTTACTTAGACAATACAAGTTGGAATAGTTAGACCCAACGCAAGTTAGAATGCCGTTTGGTAGCCGAAATTTTCCGTGAAACACAAAAAAATCAATGCATCAGAGAATATTGTCATGCAACGTAAATATTGAGTACTGATTCAAAGTACTCTACTACTCATACAGGTACTGATTCAAAGAGGATGTAAACAGTAACGTTTTCACGTGCTTCTTGGACTTTGAAAAGGTATTTGACACAGTAAAACCTCAGTTAAAGAGGAAAACAAGTACTCTGAGCAATTTAGCATACTACGAGGAGGTCGTCAGGGATGTGTTTTGTCGCCGATATTATTCGACATTTACTCTAGAGAGAGAAGCATCTCCTTAGAGATGCTCAGAGTCATCATTCTCCTTTCACAGAAGATTTGGAGGACATTGAAGATGAAATATCAATTAACAGGATTTCCATAAATAATTTCAAGCATGCTGACGACACCTTTTGACTTGTCAACATTACAGAGGGACTACAATGATTAATTAATAGAGAAGACGCTGCTAGCAGACGGTATGGTATGCGTATTAACAATGGCAAAACCAAAGTGATGACCACCAGCAAAAATCATACCCTTAACCCATCAATTCTTTTTAAGCTATGAGATACTTGCAAGAGTTCAGAAGTACATATTTGGACTATAACCTGAATGAAAATTGGGATAACTAGCGTAAAATCCATATTAGAATCGAGAAATCCTGAAGTATATTTAAGAAAACGAAGAATCTACTGTGTAACCTGTGGCTTAATATACATATTAGATTGCGAGTGCTCAGGTGTTCTGTGTTATCAACTTATTTGTATGGAGTGGAAGCTTGGACAATCAGACACCACTAGTAAGAAAATAACAGCTTTTGAAATGTGGTGCTTCTTTTATTAGGATAAGGCAATATAAATCAATTTCAAATCAAAATAAAATTCTAATTATTTTAACTTTTTATTAATTAAAACAATACGAATTTAAGAAAACGCCAATGAATTAGAAAAAATAAATGAGAATAGTAATTTAAAAATGGAATTGATAAAAAATATGAACAAATATATGTCGAAATAGAACATTTTTAATGGGTTTTTAGCAGTGTCTCCATTGTATATCCGCTTCAGCTTCTAACTTCGGCCGACATTGGCTATAAACGCTTGTAGTCGTGAAACCCAATCCGCACTCGCCGTCCTGAGATGCAAGTTGGTGTTAACGTAGACAAATCATGTCACCAATGAAGCTCTCTCGCAAGACAAACAACTACTTTTAACGGTAAAATAAAGAAAATTGCCATACTTCTGGCAAATATGCGAATCGAAAAATAGCATATCCTTCAACTTACGATACAGGGCAAAGTAAAAAGAAAAAGGGGACCAGGTAGATGACGTATTTATAGATATAGATTTATAGGTAATAAGGTTTTGTGGGCTAGAGGACTGGCCAACGTCCGATGAGGATAGGGCACTGCAAGAAGAATATCCCTATTTGATCCTTCAGCATGAAGGCATTGAATATTCGTTATGGGTTACAAATTACGAAACGTTTAATAAAAAAAAAATTGTTAATAATTAATTATGCATATGATTTCGTTCTACTTCAGCAACTACTTGCCGAAGTTTTTCGTGTTGAATTATTTCGACTAAATTGTAACAAGAATCAAATTCTGAACTTATTAAGGATTTCCATAATACATACTAGCGAACATTTGAGAAGAAAAATTCGATAAATAACGAAAGAGACTTTCTAAACCTTTTACAGAATCCTTTTTTTTATCAATAACTTCTATTAAAATAAAAAATAAAACAAATTAAATCCATTTTTGTATAAAGTCAAAATAAGAATAGTTAACCCGCCAGCAGGAATGCAAAGACTCTGATTTTGACTTCATCAAGTACATGGAAATTTCTTACAGAAAAAATTGTGGCTATTATTAACCACTGTTTCGCACTCTTCTTTAATTTTAGCTTTTTTTTTTAAATTCAAATCTAGAAGAAAAATACTTCTATTTGGACTTAAATTTAAACAATAGGGCTAAAAACTTTGTCTTTGAGCAATTGGCTCTATATTAAGCCACATTAATGTTACGTGATTCTATATTTTGATCCTACTGGATATTTAATTCCCTGATCTCAACTGACAAACAAATTTTGATAAAAATAGTTTTCCTAACTGATTTATGTTCAACATTGAGGTCCTCATATACTTAACCTGACCATAAAGTAGGAACGTATTCTTTAGAGATGGACGAATCGGATACGACCCCGATTAGTTAATCGGAACTGTGGAACAAATTGATTCAAACGTCAAGGTTATTTTGATAAAGAGTCAGGATTTGGCTCATAAGTAATATATAATAATTACAATACAATATACATAACTATTAGAGTGATAACGTAATTTTTATCAAAGCTACAGAAAAAATTAACGGTACTCATAATATATCTGATATAGTCCATTAAAAGTATAAAAGCTGACACGAGTGACTTATTAAGCACTAGAAAAAGGTAAAACTTATCTTTCTGCTGGAAAAATGTCTTTCATCTTTATTCTGTAGCTGTAAGGCAGAAAAGGGATTCTTCCACAACATTCGTACCAGTTAATGATACATTAAAAAAAATACATTCCTATGTCGTTTCGTACAATAACAAAACGGTCAGCCTTAGTTGTTGAGAAGGAAATTTTAATTTTTCTGTTATAATGGGAAATTTCTGTTAGAATGGGAAAATATTAGAATAAGAACGGATATTAGGTAAAAAATATATAATATAATTTAAATCAATGTGTAACAATTAATTTTTAATAAAAAATGCCTGGTTCATAGATGATGATCCAGATATAAAGAAAGACAATGTTTTTCGCACATTTAGTGACTAGTCAGATCAGGTTTATAGACAACTTACATTCAAGATACAATAAATGAAACAGCCTCGAAACACTTAGCCGGAATAGCGAGGTGCGTATTCTTCAATTGCAGGCACAGTAATCGTAAGTGTATTTTGAATGTAATTAGACTATAGTGTGCGTCATCAGTAATTAAGTTATGCCATACCAAGCCCGCCAAACAACCTTAAACAAGAAATACCTCGATCTCAGCTGCCATTAAACGGAAAGTGACACGAAACTGTTGTATTGAGTGATATTCCTCTTCAATATATCCGCACAAAGTCCCAAAACTCTCTCGAATCGTGCTCTATCTAATTTGACACATTTAAGCGGGCCACATGCGACCACGGTGGCGGCTCTTGGTCTGTCCAGCAGAAGAGCAATCTCTCCGAAGTAGTCGCTTGGTCCCAATCTACCGACCTCAGTGGGTTCTTCACCTTCGATTCTGTTCTGTTTAACTACAGCCGTGCCTTCTACGATAATGTAGAAATCGTCGCCGGGCTCTCCTTGACGGACAATGGTCTCGTTGTCCTCAAAACTGACGGGTTCAAGGGCGTCAGCAACTGTGAGACGTTCCCATTTGTCCAGGTTTTCTAATATAGAAACCCGGGAGAGGAATTCTTCGTACATTTTTCTCTTACGTATTGTCGAGCCCATGAGGATTCTTCTGTAGGAGTCTCTGTCGATTCCCCACAGTTTGACGTCAGTTTTGGCTTTGACTGTAGCTGCCCTAGGGGTGCCGTATATGAGCGCAAGCTCTCCGAAGCTGCCGCCCTCGCTTATGGTGGTAACAAGTTCATTATTTACATACACTTCTACTTCTCCTTGGTCTATGACGTAAAAGTTGTCTCCCTCATCTCCTTGTTGTATTATGGATTCACCTGGAAAGAAAATTATTGTTAAAAATACTGACTGTACTAACACATTTATAAAATAAGAGGTAGCAAAAAAGGTAATTGAAAAAGTAGGCTATTAATTTAATTTTTAAAATACAATTAATTTCTAGATTATAATTATTAGGTGAGAACAGTAACTTGGTTTTATGTTTACCTCCATATCATCCGAAACTTAACCCAATTGAAAATATATGAGACAAGAAATAAGAAACTAAACTTTTATAACAAACAACAGGCTAAATGAAATCATGCCAGAGATTTGGACAAATGTTTGCAAGCATATTAAAAAAACTAAAGAGAAGTATTTCATCCGAGAATTTATTATATATGAAGCAGATGAATTTATCATAAATTTAGATAAGTGACTCGCTTTTATTGTTCGGGCGGCGTCCCTAAATGTTATCAAACAGATGTTGTCAATAGAAGACTTTTCAAATCCAGTTCGAGTTCTGTCTCAGTGTGTCAACAGTCAACATGTTTTCGAAAAAGCATAAAGTGCTCTCGGTGGAGGAAAAGTTATTGATAACTCGAGCTTCGAGCAATAGAGAATGGTGAAAAGCAATTGGATGTCGTTCGCCGTATGGGGTTATCTCAGTCAACTGTGACTACGATATGGAAGGACAGAAAAAAAGTGGCTTGAAGCGGAGATGGAGTAAGAGAGGGCGGTAGCAGGAAGAAGAAAGAGAGAGAGCGGGGGGGACTGTATTTTAAAAGATTCCGATCAATGGGTCTGAATCAATAAATGAGGTATGGGCCAGTGATCCAGATCTCTGTATAATAGCTTAATTTTATTTGTCAATGGGAATTCATAGTTTGTTTCTAATTCCCATTTTATTTTGTATTATATGTAATATATTTTTAGGTTAAAAGTGATATGAACTGTTTATTTGTGTAAAGTGAATTTGTATTACTTAATCTACTATTTACATTAGATATTATAATTTCACAAAGGTTCTGAATCTGTTTTTTGTGACATGTTTAACTTGTAGCGTGATATTATAATATGGGATTAACCTTCAATTTATTGAAATGAGAATAAAATCTTACTTTTGCTTTAACAATTAAAAAAGAACGCTAGAAAAAAGTTGTGACATATGTTATGTTAAGGTTCACATTCTATTCAGGTAGTAACCTACATCATTACACAGTTGTTTTTATTTTACCAGCCCTTTAAGTAAGCCTTTATGTCATTAATTAGATATCACCAACTGATAAACCTCAAATAAGGCAAAAAATGTCAGTCTGAAAGGAGCACAAATTTATATAATCCAGTCAACAGAGACGAAAATGCCACTAAACCTCTAAAAAGTATACGAACAAGTTAAATTTTGCCGAGAATATTAACCTTGGGACCCCAAAAAAGTTTACGACTTTTATCCCCCGGGCTTCCCCCTAAAACCTCCTTCGTAGTGGGTAAAAACGCAAAAAAATTAAGGATCTTTACACTGTAAAGATTAATTTTAAACAAAAATGTTATAAACATTTTGTAGAATGAACCATTCTTTTAGAAACAACTCTTGAAGTGACTGTGGATTTTTCATATCAGTTACAGGCGCGAAATCAATGTTCAATCAAATTTTTATCAGCTGGAAGGTAAAAATATTGATATCTTTTGATTTAAGTGACCTATTGACAAAAATCAAGATGTGTTTGAAGGTAAAGACTTCAGCTTTCATATGCAGGTGGTATTTTATACAGGTGGTAAATAAATTAACTTGATTAAATGTGATTTTTGCTTTTTTTATGATTCTCACGAGATCAATACACATACAATGTATCCCTTTCATTGACTGGAAAAATCACATGATATGGAAAATCAAGAACAGCAGAAAGAAATGAAGAAAGGAATTTAGGAGTAGAGTCAAAACCCAGACAGTTAAAAAAACTGGAAAAAATGAATAATACTGAAAATTTACTAACAATCAAATGTCTGAAGGGCTAGTATTAAAAAAGCCCTTCCAGAAAGAAGAAGTATATGTTAATAATGTTCATTAATTAATATTTTTAAAACAGTTCTTACTCCCCTTTTAACTAATTTTTATATTCAAATGCCATTCATAGCAAGCAAATATTTTGAGAGGAAAAACTAATATTCACTTAATTTTATAGCTAAATACATAAATTTTACAAAAGATAAATAAGAGATATCACTGGATTGTTTGCATATGATATGTGATTTTTATGCTTTATCTGACATAAAAAATGTATTTTGGAAAGAATGGAAGCCCTGATCTCAATGACATATGCTTTTTTTATTAAATTAAATGCATACTTTGTCAATGCTGAGATGACACTTATGATAACACCTTGACCTATTTTCACAGCTTGTGCTGAAAAACATAATCTTATATAAAAATTAATGAAGGAAAGAATTACCTGGAAGACAATTTACTGGAAACATAGCATCAAAAATGTCAGATCTTTCATTTTCATCCAAATGGGAGAACAGGACATTTTTGGCAATGGCTTTGGAGAGGGCAGCCATTGTTTTGTAGTCTTTTGGAACGACCTTTTTGACATAGCTGGTAGCGTCTTCCTCGCTCACGGGCTCCGCAGATATTCCTCCTCGACGTCGGGCAGGCTGTTGAGCGTGGGCTGGTAGAGGAGACAAGTCTTCAGTGTCCTCAGGAGACATCGCTTGTTGTTTAGCGTCCAGAGCTTGTTCTCGTTCCAATTTTTGAAAATGTTCTCGGAGAAACGAAATGGGATTCGACGGACGGTTTATACATAACTGAACGATGCAATCCTTGAGAACCTGCTGGATGTTGTGAGCCTGTACGTAGGCCTCACATTCACGCAGAGCTTGTTCTTCATCGAAATTTGTGGTCATATTTTATTTTTACAATAAGGTACTGATTTAATAACTGCACTTTAAAATCACTTGCGTATTTACGTCAAATTTAGACGTCTTAAAATATAAAAGTTTTCTTTTTTCACATAAGGATGTACTCGCCTGTGGCTATGTTTGTCAATGTCAATTTATTTATGTCAAATTTTTCATCAAAGGAAATAATCGATCGCAAGGAAACATTTCGATTGCATTTAAAATTGATTTATTTATTATCAACCTTAAAGGGAAAATAATCAAAAAATCTCAAAATAAATAATTTTATAAATACTTTACGTCATTTAATTGCAATTCATATAGTTAAAAAATAATATTAACATTTGTATTCGCTTAATTAATTTAATGAACAATTATTGAATTTTCCAGTAGCTGCATGATATCGTCATGCAATAAAATCAATATTCGTAATTAGACAAAAGAGAAGAATGTGGTTATGTTCCATTAGCATAAAATTTACAAAGTAAAACAAAAATGTTTTGTAGATTTTGTATTTCTGCACTTCCAAAAAGGCATAATGGTTAGTAAAACAATGATTTTCATTTATCTACACAGGACTAATCATCTTCATTTTCAGGCATCAAAAGATATTCCACAGTGGTTAAAGCTGCAGCACCCCAAGCAAATAGGTCCAATAAAGACAATATTGGCAAAGAAATTTTAGAATACAGGCACATGTATCCAGAATTTCTACCAGATCCTAAAGTCGAATTTAGAAATACGCTACGGGAAAAACTAGAACGAAATGATATGCTAGCCAGGAGAGCTCATATTAATATCCCAGAATTTTATGTTGGTAAATAAGTTTATCTAATCAAAATATTCAGGTACTATATTTTGTTTACTCTCAGGTTCAATCTTAGCAGTGGAATCATCAGATCCCCATGCACCAGGGAAACCCCATAGATTTGTTGGAATATGCATTCAAAGGACAGGCTGTGGTCTTCGTGCTAAATTTATTTTGAGGAATATCATAGATCATCAGGTAAATTTAAATTCTTTTATACTTCTTTTCTTTCTTTTATATTATATATATTCTTTTATACACAGACAGAGGTCTAGTGTTCCAAGTTCTGTGATCTTTTTTGGAATTCTGAATGCACATTTGTGACAGTTAATTAACAGCTTTAGTTTCTTTCCAAGTATTGAACCTCAAACACATTCTCAGTTAGCTTTTCCAATGAAGAGACATTACTTTTGGTGAGCTTAGTGCACCTAATTAACAGTATGTGAAAAGATCAAAGAGAGAATTTAGTTCTTTAATATAATATTTATATGTGTCAAATTTGAAGTCAAAATTTGATCAATAGAGCAAAAAATTATTTGTGTTAGTATACCTTATTTTTGTTATTGAGACTGGACAATCAAGTATTATATGATTCTTCAATTAAAAATGGTATAAACATTTTTTGTAGAACAATTTGATAGTCTTTTCCAGGTAGTTTATTATATAAAAGTTCTATTTTTCTTTCTTTTTTAGGGAATTGAAATCTCTTATGAGATGTATGATCCAACATTACTAAAAGTTGAAGTATTAAAACTAGAAAAACGCCTAGATGATGAGCTTCTTTACCTTAGAGATGCCCTTCCAGAATATTGCACTTATGATCCAAACATGGAACCTGAAATTTTACCAGAAGGTACATATAATTCATTTTCCCAAAATATAAAAATATTTGCTTGTAATTTGCCTTTTATTGCCAGAAAGATCTATAGCTCCTCGGAAATGTTACATTTTTTATTTGTTTAGTTGACACATAATGATATTTTTCTGACATTTTTAGGTTCTCAAATCCCAGTAAACACAACCAAAGTGAAGTTGAAACCAAAACCATGGTTAGAAAGGTGGGAACGGAAAAATCTTCAAGGTGTTCAAGATTTAGGATTACCTGAAAAATTCTATAAGAGAGCTGCAGAATTAGCCACACCATGGGAGAAATATGATTTAATGAAGGAATATATGTAAGTAATGTACAATTTTAGCTTCTTTTTTAATTATTTAATTATGTTTATTAAATTGAAGAAGACCAAATATAGCTGTCCCAAAAAAGGAAATATACCATCAAATTATCTCTGACAAATACAATCAACAACTACTGTAAAGCTAAAAAAATGAAACGGACTGAAAATACAATTGAGAAAAAAGACAATTAGAGTTAGCTTAAAAGTACAACCTTATATGGGAATAAGGAGAAGCAATAATATATAGCTTAAACATTAGATAAATCCAATAATTAGTAGATTTATTGGAACAGCGGAGTAAATTTAAAAACATTGAAATGTGAAAGTATAAACAGACTAAGAAAATAATTTGAATTACCAATTACAAAAGTGTGGACTAAATATGAAATATGGATGTAGACAAATTATATTGTGTATGGTCTCTTTCATCCCAAAGATCAATCCTTTCATCAAGAACAAAATTTTATATAATCTTCGGAACAAAATGAAAATTGTAAAGCAACTGCATTAGATAACATCTGTGAAGAGTTCCTAAAATTTTTAATACACAAAACTTAACCTAACCACTTGTAACGAAGAATATCCATCTCCAGATTGCCTAAAATCTATATTTGACTTGAAATCTGACAAAAGTCATTAGTTTCTGCTAATCAGTCTAAAGAAGCATTAAAATTTAACAAAGCTCTACATAATTTTATTCATAACATGGAACAAATTTTAACTAAATTGTGTTTTATGCTAAAAAAAAAATCTGGTACTATATTTGTATATTTCTCTATGTATTTTTGTAGGCGTACAATTCCCGAAGAAGATCAATTGGAAATATTTGGTGAAATTGATAGCAAACTCCAGAAACTACAAGTACAAGGAAGAAAAATGAAGAAGAGGGTCTTTGTCAAACCCACAAAGTTAGCTTAAGGTTATAAATAAATTTCTCATTAAGGTTTTTTGTTTTATTTGGTAATTGACTATCATACAACTTATGATGAATCGAAAATTGAATATTTTAATGAAATAAAACCACTGTGCAGGTCACAATTGCCCATTTGAGAAAACATATCTTATATTACTTTATTTTAACCCCATAAATAACAAATTTATATGATTTAGAAAGTACCAACCTTCAAATGTCACCTGTCAAAATTTTGGTCCAGTATAGGACCATTAGATTACTTAATAAAATTACAAGTTGATTTAAATGATGCTACTAATGCAAGTTTCAACAATGGACAGGTTTAAATATCTCGTGTTAATAAAATATTTCTTCCTGATGGGAAAAGTACTGTTCTTCACATTCACAATTTTGTACCATTTTTTGATCCTTTGCGTTTGAAGGAAAAATTGCTAAAAATGATATAAATGGAGAAAAAAAAGCTGCTGCTGGCGAAATGATTGGGAGCCTGACATTCATTCAGTGACCTAATATATTTTATTAAGAGAGCCTTGCATACACCACTGATTCATTACACTGTCATACATTGTCATATCACCACAGTAGGAGACTATGTTGAATCAAATCAAATTTTGTGTAAAAATTGTTTTATTAGTAAGGCCCAGGCCCTATTGAGTGAAGTGTTATTTGAATTAATATTTCCACAAAGCAGCAGTTATCTCTAAGGTTTAATCTTTGTATTATCTCTTCTATGGGTTTACTTTTGTGTGTCACTTTCCAAAATATCAGAAACCTAGTACAAAAATATTGTTTGCAAAGCATGTAGCTAAAATAAACATTCTAGCATGTATTTCAATTAGTTTGTTTCAAGTTTAAAGAAAAATGTCTTCTTATACATTAATATAATGTATAAGAAAACCAATATTCAGTAGTGGTAGATCAACCTACTGTTGTAGATTCAGTACTGTATGATTTCCATTGCCAAAAGCAATTAATTCTAGGTCCATAATAAATTATAACTAACACGTCTCAGTTTATCTTTCCTGTATTACATCAGGCGACTAAACATTGAATAGCCGGAACTGAGGATACTGTCGTCAGTGTTGCCGGATTTACCACATACATATAATACTCTAAACGTAATTAAAAAATTACTACATCATATGCTTCTTCCATATAAGCTTCTAAACGAGATTCTAGCATGGTTAAAAAAAAGGAGGTGTCAAGCAATACATTTGTCGTATTTAAAAAATATATTTAAAAATTATAACATATTTTTTTTATTATACAGGCAAATTAAAATAAATACAAAGAATGAATAAAACTTATCTCAAAAACTTTAATGTACAAATCAAAAAAGATATAATTACAACATTTTCATGTCTTAGATAATATTTTTTCAGGCAGTTTACTTATTTATATACATTATTTTAAAAACATCACTCCACAGTACGTTCAAGATGCTGAAAACAAAAAGAAAATGTCGATTAGTTATGAAACAGTTTTAAAATTGAGACATGCCAAGAGTAATGGCAGTGATATGCAACGTGAGTCACATAAGACTTTGTAGTTAATTACATTAACTAAATAGCTAATTAATAATTGCAAACTAAAAATTGCGATTTTAATTTTTTTCAAATGGGGTTGATAAACTATGTCCTCCCTATGACTTAAAGCTACCAAATATCAGTAATAAATTTTCTTGTAAAATCGACCATTTTTAATTTCCAGACTGGTTAATTTCCAGAATTTTGGTGGGGTTATGCTCTCGATTTGGCAGGTTTATGCTCTCGAACCCTCACTCATGACTGCTGGAGCACCCACTAAAACGAGATATCTTAGCCACTAGCTGAACACATTTGCAATTTATTGGACAGACATATTCAGAAGTGTTACCATGCATTTTGCGTCATAAACTCTCCAATGGTTAGTATACTCATTCACCGAAGAGTTTTATATACAGTGGGTGATCAAATTATTATGGTCAGTCACAAAAATTTAAGTTTTTCATATTTGTTCAGAAATTTTATAATAAAATTATATGCTGATATACGATTAAAGTATGCCAATATATTTTGTCACTGATAACCTTACTTTTTTGCCGTTTACCGCTCTAGAACTGTCATTTGTGTCAAATTACGTGACAACATACACATTGTGGTGAATTTACGCTTGGAGTTTACAACTGAATTTGTATGTTTTTGTATTGTTTTTGAAAGATTAGTATCGTTTTATCTTTGTAGTATGTTTTATTAATTTATTAGTGGTGATTGTGAGTGAAAAAAGAATATCAGTTTTAATTTTAAAGACATTTTCAAAACATTTCGATTTTTGAGAAGAAAATCATAATGGGTAAGGCTAAAGACGTCCCTGTGTCTAAAATGGTGGAAATAAAGACACTTTTATTGAATACAAAGCTTTCCCAACGTCAGATAGCTCAACAATGCCAAGTAGCGCAAGCAACAGTGAGCAATATCAAGAAAAAAATTGAAACCAACAAACCCCTGATTCACCAGCGTGCCCAAAAATGTGGTCGAAAGCGTGTCACTACACCCAGAGACGAAAGAAAAATGAGGGATACATTCGTAAACAATAGAAAGAAGCCACGAAGAATCCTCACGGGACTTATTCGTGAAGCTGATATGCCAGTTTCTGACGACAGTCCGCAGAAGGCTTACTGAGCAAGGTTTCAAATCATGTCGCCCTGCCAAAAAACCAAAGTTGACCATCGTAATGATGAAAAAGAGACTGGAATGGGCCAAAGAACACCAAAATTGGACAATTGAGGATTGGAATAAGGTAAATTACGTCACTACTAAAGTTTAAATCACTATAACCACTGTTTTTATCCTAGAAAAAATATCTTATAGTTTTTTTTATTCACAGGTTTGTTTCTCCGATGAGTCTACAGTGGAGATACTCATGGATAAGTCGGCCTTCGTCCGAAGACAAGTGGGTGAAAAATATCATAAGGATTGCATAGTGGAGCGAGAAAAGCATCCTCTCAAGATTATGGTATGGTCTGTGATCAGCAGTAAGGGCACAGGGAGGCTGTACATTGTAAATGAAATGATGAATCAACATCAGTATATTGAAGTTCTGGAAAAAAAACTCATGCCACAAATCAAAGACTGGTTTGGCGAATCGGAGGATTTTACCTTTATGCACGATTCAGCACCGTGCCATAAGGCAAAAAGAGTAACATCGTACCTGGAAAAAAAGAAAATTAAAGTACTGAAGTGGCCAGGTAATTCCCCAGACCTCAATCCGATCGAAAATCTATGGAGCTTATGAAGAGGGGGGTTGCCCAGGAAATTGTCACAAATAAGCAGCAGTTAATTGAGAGACTCATTGCCACCTGGCACAGAAACGATAAAATAAAAGAAAACTGCCTGAGAAACATTCAAAGCATGCCAAGGAGGATCAAAGCTGTCATCGAAGCTAAAGGAGGTCACACAAAATATAAAAAAAAAATGTCATTTAAGGTCAAAGAAAAAAATATTTTAAAATTTTGTAAAAGAACGTGTTTATGATCTATTTTTATATTATATTCACATTATTAGACACTCATATGTAGTTTTATTCTTTATTAAACAGTAAAATATAAAGTTTTTTGAAGTGATCATAATAATTTGATCACCTACTGTACATACAGATTGAACGAAATAAATTCGGAACATAGGAATATAATGTATTTCGGCTTAATTCTGCTGTAGGTGGTTGGCCAACAAAATATTGTCAAATATTTATATTATAAAAATCCAATACTTCAGTGGGCTGCTGGATTCTGAACTCATAAAAATTGAAAGCTACACATAAATCTACGATTTATGCTGTCAAACCAGTTATAGTCCAGGAAATGAAGCATTTCACCTCGCAATTATTTCGTGCTCCCTGGATTGACTTGAAATTTAACAGAGGGTAGGTAATAGCCTAAGGATCAAAATCTATATCGAACCAAAGTGCGCCAAAGCCTAGGGGGTGGTTGCCACCCCATCTCCGGGGTGAATTTTTTTTTTACGTTTTAACTACAGGTTTCGATTAAAAAAGTGATTCTAAACAAAAAATGTGCTATACATTTTTTTTATAAAATGATATTTTTCAAGTTATTCGCGATTGAAAGTAATAATTTTTGGACGAAAAAATCCACGTTTTTTAATCGATTTTTCGCGAATAATTCGAAAATGGTGCATTTTATCAAAAAAATTGTAGAGAACAAATTTGTAGCTTTTAAAAAGACAAATACAATTCATTTTTTAAAATGTTTTTGGGATATAACAGGAACCGAAATACGGCCTATTAATGTTCAGCGGTTTTCTTCAAATGCCAAATTTGAAAGATTCAAAATCAAATATCGGGAAAATGATGCATTTTTGGAAGAAAACTCACAAAACCTTTTTTAAAGAGCATAAATAGACCTATCATAAAAAAGACTCTAGCTGAAAAATTGAGTGAGTTATGATGAAAATAAGGTCAATACCTCATTTTTTACGAAAAAATCGATGAAAACAACCCCCTAACCACCCCCATAATTAAAATCGATCTTCACCCTTCTGAAATTCCCTTTGTACATGTATTGTTAATATGTCCAAGAAGTTTAACCCATTTAAAATGCTTTGTGTTATAAAAAGTACAGCTTAAAGCGAGAAACGATTTACAATTTCATATTTTTTACCCTTCTTTTTTTAAATATGCCCGAAAATACTCAATATATAAAAAAATACAAATTACCAAATTGTAGCTTTTTTAATGACTAAAATTATCCTTCATTTAGATTTGTTGTACAATGAATATTTGGCAAGATATAGCCGTTTAAAGCATCGATTTACGATCAAGCACCATCTTTTTCGATCCCTTTAAACTCACCCCATTTAAAAACCAAGGGTTCCAAAAAGATTTAATTCACAGATTCTTGTAGCTCTTAAAAACCTCTACAAATCGTTTTTGAAGAAACACTCTATCGTTAAAAATTAAAGGAAATACGTTAAAAAAAAACAGTGAATTTTTTTCCGGAAAATTTTATTAGTATAGTACAGTACATTTCGGAGCATAGTAATCTACAAAACCGGTATATTAGCTAGTGGGGCGTTATACATTCGAAATTTTAAGCGTTCTTATTTTGAAATCCCATACAACAGAATAAAACATCTGCTCATATGTCTATGGCTTGGCAATGAAAATATTAGAGCAACAGATTGGGGATGGTATTCCAAAGATGGTTTGTTATTACCCGTACGCATGAACAAACAACCTGCACTCGATGAACTTTTGAAAATTATTTTTTGGCAATGCAAAAAAGGATGCGGTGTTTCATGTGGGTGCAGAAAAGTTGGTTTATACTGTAACTCTACTTGTTCTGGGTGCTCAGGTGAAGGGTGCAATAATAGTCCACCAATAATTGAAGATGAGGATGACATAGATCACGATGAAGATGTAATTGATGACGAATAAAATTAATATTACAATTGTTTTACCTATAAATGTAAATATTTTCAACTATTTATGTAAATGTATAAGAATATATGGTGCCTTTTTATGTTGATAAATTTTTTTGTATTTAATTCTACTTTTTTCAATTTATATCTTATAAATTAGTTTATAAAAACTGCAATGTTGTAAAGGGTGATTTTCACAAGTTGAAAAGTTGCAAAATTTTGGCAAAAAATTGTTTTCACCTATAGCACTCATAACAATTGATTTTTAAGGGTTGAAAATGTATGAATTTGTATTTTAAAGTATAAAAAAATCACTATTTAACTAATCCAAACCAAATTTCACTCATCTTAAGATTTATAATATTATTTTACAATTTTGAAAATTAGAAGTAGTTTTCACCCCTAAGAACAATCAGGGTTCATCGGCATGACATAAACTATAAAGCAGAGGGCGAGTTGAGCTTAATTCCAAATTTTTATTCAAATCGTTCCAAGGTGAAATCATTTTCTCGCATTACTAATTTTTTTATATTAATCTCTAATAATGGTGCTTTTTAAGGGTTGAAATATGATGGAACTTTATTTAAAAGCACGAAACTATCATTATTTAATTAATTCAAACCAAATTTTACCCATATTCAAGTTTAATATGTTATTTTATAATTTTTGACAATTACGGGTAGTTTTCACCCCTTAGAACAATCAGGGTTCGTCGACATGACATAAACTATAAAGCAGCGGGTGAATTGAGCTTAAATCCAAATTTTTATCCAAATCGATCCAAGGCGAAATCATTTTTTTATAATTGGTAATTTTTTTTACATTAATCTCTAACAAGGGTTGCTTTTTAAGGGTTGAAATATGATGGAACTCTATTCAAAAGTATAAAATAATCATTATTTTACTAATTCAAACCAAATCTTACCCATATTCAGGTTTAATATGTTATTTTATAATTTTTGACAATTAGGGGTAGTTTTCACCCCTAAAACCCTTCAGCGCACTTCGGTTCGATATAGATTTTGATC